GCTGTTGTTGCTGTACGGGGTGGGCTTGTACAGGGTAGCCCGCAAAGGCTCCCGCAGCGCCAGCATGACGAGCACCGTAAGAGGCCGACAGAGCAGCACTGGATGGAAGCATTCCTAGCAATGACACTACCGCACGGCAGGCCACGGGTCCCACGACGCGAACATGGAGGGTAGACACATGAAGTTAAGGAGGTTGGGCAAGTGCGTGCACAATGCCTGCACCTCTACCAGCCCAGCACTGCTGTAGCACCACCATACAGCCGAGCAGCCAGAAGAAAAGACTCCGGACTATACGGCAAGGACAACAGGCAGGGCCTGGCCTGGCCTGACCACACCAGTGCAGGCACATGATCACCAACGTACGTACGACGGCAACAACAGGTACAGAGCAGCATCGACACGTGGGACAGCATGAGGGAGGCTGCAACACAGGAGACAGACCAACACACACATGGCGCTGGTGCGGGTGCGGCCGTTGCTATTTTATTTCCAAAAAAAACATCACAGAGAGGGTGAGGGTGAGGCACAGACACAGAGGATGCACGGACGCCTGTCGGGACGGGATCTCACCAGTTATCGTTGTGTGTTGTCTCCTCGTCTTCCCCCAGCGTGCGGGTGCGTGTCGCCGCCTTCAGACGGCTCTCCGCCGCCGTGATTATCGCTGCTTTTATAGGAGAGGGAGAAGAACCTCTTCGGGGACACTCCGGGCGGTTTCCCGGGGTTTCGATCCATATGGATGTTTGGACTGTGGTTCTCTTCTATAATCCATGGATTGCAAATATTCGCGCCCGGGCGGGACAACTACCTGAACCACCACATCCCGGATGTTATCCCAGGGACACAGAGATACAGCGACGGAGCGTCCTGGCATTCGATAATCAATCATTGGATCAGCAGGTATGAACTGAACTTCAGCTGTATCGATGCCCTTGTGGGTTTTGACGCCGACATCGATTATTGCCCTAACTCATCCGTGATACAGCAAGAGGTGCGATTTTTAGATACATTGTACTTGTACCGGTCCGCTATTCCATTCTCTCTTGTGTACATACGAAGCATGCATAGAAAAGTTCACACACTATGTTCCCAGTTCCTGGTCTGTGCTACCCCTGCTTTGTCCACAAAACAGTTGCTAATACACGGGTTGCCCTCCAAAGCAGGCATGATCGCGTGACACAGGTCACACCCACTAGTGAGGCTGAGGTGATGCATGTACCGCAAAGCCCTTTGCCCCGCAAGGCCCCACTGTGCCGGAATTGAGCTCATGCGGTACACACGTGACACAAGCGCAGGCACTTGGGGACACCGTTTGGCCACAACGACGGTTCCTTCCGCGGGAACCACGGTACTTGATAAGTTGATAAGTTGATCAAGTGATGTTGTTGTGAGGTAGCATTCAGCAGCAGGCAGCAGTATTAGCAGTTAAACCATGCTTACCCTCATTACTTCTTAATTTTGGTCCTGTCCTTGGACCTATCTATTTAGCATAATAATACGTACATGTAAGCAGTAATGCAACTCCGTGCCAAATGTGCCGCATTGAACCAACTCACTGCCGCGATCAGCACGAATAGACTACACACGATCTGGTTGTGTTCGCAATTACAGGCTGAAAACACTGAGGAGACGTTGCAGTTGAACAATTGCAGGAAGCTCTTCTCTGCTACAGTTGCGGCCCGCTAGTCAGGATAAATGTACAACCAGGGAGTAAAATGTTTTACGGTAGGCAAGCATACGCGTAGACTAGATGTCATGTGTTTTTCGAAAGGGTGCAGCATACAGACCACCCGATACCCAACCCGTCCCAACATATTCTTTCTACACCTTCCCAGCATAACGTACAGTCGGATGCACAAGATGGCCATTACCCACAGGGGAGAATCGCTGTGTGCTGCTTCGGGAACCGTAGAAACACTGGTAGCATTATGTATCGTCTTCATTGCTAATTTAGCCTCGACTGCTGTCATCCGTGAATAGAGATGGATTCGCTGTGGTAGATTACGAAAATAAAAAAAGACGTACAGCAGTAGAAATAGTTCGGAGTTCGAGGCTGGGGATTTCGCGAAAAATGAGAAAAATCCAGGGTACACCTCGGTACTAGTTTTTTAGGCGGATCCAGGCGGGGCGGTACGTCAATGTGGCGGTACTTTTTTGGCGGTTGGCGGTATTTCGTTTTCCGGCGGTACCGCCTTTGGCGGTTCCCGGTACTGCCAATAATGGCGGTACTTTTTTGGCGGTACGTCAATATGGCGGGTTTTTTTAGGCGGTTCCCGGTACTGCCAAATACGGCGGTATTTTTCTGACGGTACTGAAATATGGCGGTACCGCCTTCGGCGGTTCCCGGTACTGCCAAATATGGCGGTACCGTCTTCGGCGGTTCCCGGTACTGCCAAATATGGCGGTGCCGTAGGCGAAAAAAATTTTTTGGGGCCCTTTTTCTCGCCATTATTAAATAACAACACTATTTTTGACGTAATTTCCTTTCAAAACCAAGTAAATATCCAAAAAAAATCCCCCCATGCTCCGCAACACGCCTGCGGCGTGTTGTTGCGGGAGCCTGGCGGCTCCGCAACAGCCGCTTCGCGACTATTTAAAGCGCTGGTTCGAACAGCTGACGATCGGCGACAGATGAAAGAGGTTCCGCCGAAAGGAACAAGGCAGAACCAAAAAAAATATATTTATATATGTATGACGAAAGAGAAAAAGAAAAAAGAATAAATGTGAACAAAGACGCACGCCAGTTGGACTCGAACCACTGTTCTGCGCGAGACATGACGTTGGAGTTATTTAGTGCCCTATGCTACTTTAGAGGGCAAAACTGTAGTATGGCGGTACGATTTTGGCGGTACTGCAGTACGGCGGTATTTTTTCGGCGGTACTGCAATATGGCGGTTCTCTTTTGGCGGTTCCCGGTACTTCGTGTTTTGGCGGTACCATTTTGGCGGTACTGCAGTACGGCGGTACTTTTTCGGCGGTACTGCAATATGGCGGTACTTTTTAGGCGGTTCCCGGTACTTCGTTTTTTGGCGGTACTTTTTCGGCGGTACTGCAATGTGGCGGTACTTTTTAGGCGGTCGGCGGTTTTTCGTTTTTCGGCGGTACCGCCTTCGGCGGTTCCCGGTACCACCGAATGTGGCGGTAATTCCCGCCAGTACCGGGACCGCCCACCACGGCGGGAAAAAAACGGCGGGAATTTTCCCGAGGTGTACCCTGGGAAAAATCGACTAAATAAGAAACACACCTCAGCCTGCCGTGGATCCTACACTAAGGGTTATTGTTAACGCAACGAAAAAAAAACGTTTTTTTTTCACGGAACTGTGAAAAGAAGATCCGATTATTTTTCCCTTGTTCTAATCGTGATGTCATCGCGAAGAGTTCGTTTCCTTCTCTGAATACACGTTTTGCTCGACACACAACAGGTTGACATGGTATTGCTCACCATAGAGCAGCGGTGAAAGCGCAATAAGCAGCACCCGACACAGAGGACAACACACTTAGAAAGATCCCGTCCACCTGGCCTGCTGTTTTCAGTTTTCAGCAACAACAGACGCAGGGCAGAGTGTCGCCACCTGGGTGTTGCTTGCGATTTCTTCAGTTTGCCAGCTCATTTTTCACGATTGCGACTCCCATCTTTGACCACCACCTGCCCAAAGGTAGACGAGCTCAACAATCATAGGGCGGCAGCCGCGCTGACGGCCAGCATCATATAGATGGCCAATCCGAAAGAATTTGCGTGTCGGAGGCCCTGTTGCTCTACTGCTGCGTGGTGCCGTGGATTGATGTTGATGCGTCCGACCAAAAACAGATCATCTCGCCGCATTTTTTCCAACGGCATTTTGGTGAGGTGGCACACGTCTCTCACACACTTTATTGAGCAGCATCCAAGCACCCAATACCCACGAAGCAGCACGGCGCCGGGAGATGGTATCATATAGACAGCCGAACCGAAGGAATCAGCGCGTTGGAGGTCTTGGTGCTGCTGCTGTACTCGTTCTACTGTTTCCGTGTTTGCTATGTGTGATTGAAAAAAAAAAAACAGCACCAACAGCAGCAGTTGAAGACGAGAGCACCACGCAATGCCTAGTTTTGGGTCAAGAACGGACTGAACGCCGCTTCTGCCGCTTGTCCATCTCCACAACAGACCTGGACGTGAGTCTGGCAGGTCTTTCTAGCGTTCTCAGTGATGTTACAGCGCCCGCGGTGCGCTTGTCCGATGCTTCTGTCAAAAACACGGATTCGTTTAAGTAGCAAGCCCCAAAAAAACCCGGCTCCTTCTTTTCACGCTTTCGGGGAAAAACGCCTCCATATGTGTTCAAGAAAACACGGTTTCGTTTTTTTTTCGTGTTTTATTGGTCGATAAGAAGCACCCTAAACTCAGGTTATTCAACTATGCTCGACTGTGGTGACGAAACAATAAATGGAGCCTGGACCTCCTCCGAAATGGGCGTTTCTTATTCGCGGGCAGCAACTGCTGTACAGCGAATCAAAGAGTGTTCTTCTATGCACGCACCAGCAACCGTAGCGGTCATTTTGGTACCATACTGCTGTATGTTCTTCATGTTTAGAAATATTGTGGGAAAGGTCTCAATCTCAATCCTGAAATATTATCGTACCGAGCTCTCTGCTCTCTGCCTACCATTGCCATGCGATCGATAGCCCCCCAAGAGGTTGCTGGGAATTACGGCGGAATTTCATGTTTTTGTTGTTGTTCTGTTGCTGTTGTTGCGCCCAACGCTCGAGGCAGACAACGGACAACTGCTTCGTGCCGGTGCAAGGGCTCTCTCGGGTCAAGGGTGGCTCGTGTGTACTCGGGTTCCTGCTGCTATATTACCGTCCTGGGTGTTGCCGCAGGCAAATTCTGGTCAGCAGACGCAGCAGGAGCAACTGCTTCAATCTAGCTTGATACTTTTTTCAGGTCCGAGTGGCTCCAGTACGACACCAAGGCCGCCAGTTGTACGCCACCCGCCACCACCGCCGTCTTATCCTGAAATACTGCTCTAATGACGAGCTTCATCGAGAGAAAGGTTAACGAAATCTGTGGGCGTTGGTTGGACGGCTTCACGAAGGACAATGTCGACGTTTCCCTCCTGCAGGCTAAGATCACACTCTCCGACCTGCACTTCAAGACGGTAAGCACATTGTCTTGTTTTCCTGGGAGTGAGTGGTACGTCTTCGGCGGTGTGCATCGTTTCTGTCTCATTTTATGTTCGCATTGCTTGAGACGAAATGTCTTGTTTTTGTTTTGCCGTATCGTACATGAGGTGCTTGATGGTGCCCCCTTGCTGGTGGACACAAAATGTCACTGCTTAGAACCGCCGAAGTTTTTCTCAAGGTTGAAGAATCACCGACCGTATACATGCAACCCCCAACACGTCGGCATTGAGGTGATGCGCTGATGATGCGAATGACGGTGATGACACTCTGACTCCTCCATGGATGATTGCCGTTGAACCTTGCGTTTTCTGTACACATGCAGGACGAGCTGTGTCTTCTGTCTCCAACCTTTGCGCCGTCTTTCTTTTACGTGGGGAAGCTGTCCATCGATATCCCCCTCGCCTGGAACTTTTCTCGGCCGGTCAAGATGGCAGTGTCGGACGTGTTGGGTGTCATCAGAGTATGCGATCACGGGAGCATGCAGGCTGAGGTAAAAACGTATGATACCGTGAGTCAGACCCCACTGGTATGCGGTGGGCATACATACTTCTTCTATAGAGACTGGCAGAAAGGAGCGAGAAAAGGTTTACGTACGATGTATGGCATGCGGTGTGGCCGAGCAAGAGCAGTGTCGACGCGATAAAGACAGGGGAGCAAGATCCCACCCTATCCAACAGTTTCTACGCCCGTGAAGTTTAACTTAACGACGCACCCCAGTCTTACTTCCTTCCCACCAACCGCGCACGTTTCGTGAAACCTACAGGATGCGCGAAGGAGCATCAGCGCGAATGTCCACGTGAAGGCGATCTTAAGCAAGCTGGCGGATGAGCTGGGAGGCGGTGGGGCAGACGAGGGCAAGAGACCAGCCCGAATGAACCTTCAAACCGCCTACAACCTGCACAAGGTGATGCGGAAGTTGGAGGTTACCGTGAAGAACGCACACGTGAGAGTCGAGGAGCCTCGCCGAGAAGTGAATGACGAGAGCAGCTCACACCAAGGCTCTTCCTCCCCTGCGGTAGCGTTCGGGGTGTGCTTGCGAGGCATATCGTTGGGGATGGACGAGGCAGCGGACGTGGAAGCCGACGGGGGCTTGGCTGGAGCGAGGTGGCTCGGGAAGAAATTCCGTGCGATGGAGACTGCTCTTCTGGGAAATATTTGTGAGATTGTGTTGTTTAATCACGCCGCCTCTGCAGCATAACATATCTGTTGAGCCATGCTCAGCATGCGTTGATCCTGTCGTATTTGGTTGTCCATTGCCTCAGCTCAATCAAAGAATGTAGTGACGGAGGGCAATGGGGTGCTGGATTGTCGTACAGCATGTTCTCTACTTTACGGGAGGCGAACTCTTGTGCGAAGGACATGGCTGCAGTCCTACTTTCTGTACAAGATCCCTTGTTGTTGTTGAACCGCATAACGTCACCCTGAAAATGTCAACTTGCCCGTTCTCTCGGCCCTCAGCGCGGTATGACGCCGTGGATGGAGCTCTGGACGCACACAGCAACGAACAACGTGACGCTCAAGCTCATGGTCGAAGTGACACCGGAAGCGATGGTGTAGATGACACCAGCGGCGAAAAGGCGGCTTCCGATGAATCGACAACCTCGTCGACGTTGGCCGTCACCAAGTTTGCCAGCGTGCGCGGTGCCTCGGTGTACTTCTGCCGCGATGAGGAGTGCTACAGGTACGCTGCACCTGCGCGATAAAAGTCCAGTAGCGCGACTTGCCATGTACACCGCGCCCGAGACCCGGAGATGCCATTTGTGCGTAGAGAGTGTTTGCCCTCAACGCGCGTTGGTACCGCCGTATCTCTTCCATGGGCGCAAGCTACTTCCTGGTACCGGCTATGCGTTGTCGTTTTTGTTTACACTTCCGTGTCGTACTTCCTCCCACCGCTGTTCGACGGGTGTTATCGACGGTATGATCGAACCCGGCACTACGGCACACGACAGCGCAACCGACAGAGAGGAGACCCTGCGCAGGCTGAGGGAAGACTTGAGGAGCCCCCCGGCAGCACTGCCGCCGCTCCTCAGACGGTGCAGGGGTGGTGTCGGCCTCAGGGTAGTGCTTTCCGCGAAGGAGTGGGGCAAGATAGAGTCCATGGATATTCGGCTCCTGGGCGGTGACATCAACCTGCAGGTAAGTGTGGGGGGATTGACATCGACGTCTCCTGCAAGCTTCTGCCTTGAGTACTTGATATCTAGAAGTAGGTGTCTGGGATTGTGCATCAGAAAATTTAGTGTTGTGCGAGTTTTTGTGTCATTGTTTCACTATACGTTAGTGCAACACGTGCATGGGCTATGGCTCGGTGAAATTACTTCACTGAGCCAACCCCACCGGCAATTTTACCACCAAAAAGCTGGAAAATGGCGTGGTGTTGTCCCTTCGCCCCACAGGTTGGAGATGACCAGCTGGGATACCTGCTTAGGTGGGCCTCACTGCTAAACGGGCACATGCGGACGCTGGCGCTGTCCGCTCTTCGGCCCGCGAGGGACTTGGTACCCGCGACCCTACCGAGCGATAGCAGTGGGCGTAGCGGCAAATCGCGGTACTATCGAGCACTGTGGAGGCTTGCGGTGGGCGTCGTGCTGCGGGTGAGCTGGCGGTGTTCTTATGCACTTATTGATTGTCCATAGGATTTACACACATTGTTTCTGTTGACACACGATGGTTGGTTCAGATAGTTGGTGAATCTGCACAACTGCTGTTGTTTATTCTTGGAGCTTGGGGGCATTACTCCTTGCCGCTCTTGTTCGCCTCTCAACCACCCTCAAGTTTGAAAATCAGTCCGCTGCTTGTCGTTCACAATACTAAATGCCATCGCCTGCGCACTTTGATCTCGTCATCATCCCTAGTGTAGTGTAGGATATGCATATGATGATCCTCTTGAGCTACTCGTCGCAGGGGGTAAAGGTAGATAAGGTCTCGTTGCCCCATGGCACACCGGACGCCTTGGCGGTTTCCCTCGTTGTCGAGCAATTCCCAACGTGTCCTCTCTCCTGTCTATCATAACCCGCACAACTTGTGTCGTCCCTATTGCAGGACCTACGGTCATCTGCATGGCAGCGAAGCGAAAACGCGAGGAACAATCTGCAGTCCGCGCAGGCGGCGAGGAGTGAGGTACATTCACTGCTGTTACTCTTTCTGTGTAGACTGCTGTGCAGATGAGACAGTGAGTGGCATGTCGTTGCGGGTGCACTCGGGTGTGATGTCCACTTCAACTTCTATCGTAGCACCAAGGGCACGAGGACAGAGTGAGTACTAGTGAGTACTCTGGCAACGGCGAGCATCTGGAGAAGGTGGGGCGCGGGCAGAGATCTTCCCCTCTTTGAATCTTTGAATCTTTGACTCTGCGGTGCAAAGTGCGTTTCTTGCGCCATTCCTTGATTTAGAGTCCGCCGCGTCATGCACTCAAGACCTTGTTTGTTTGCCAATGAGTTTGGCAATTGTACGCCGCCGTGCTATGTGCGTGTGAACGCATCTTTCTACGGCGGACCGTTTTCTGTACAGATTTTCGACCGGCCCTGGAGCAACGAGGAGCGCGAGTACAGAGCTGCCCGCGGGTTGCTGTGGCGCACATGGTTCGCTGAGTGGGTAGGGGCGGCACGATATCTGTCTTTGAGGCAGCTCTTGCAGACAAGGCTCGTGGTGGAAAACTTCTCAGACAAGTCGGGCGGGATCCACAACAGGCTCTACGAAGACCTAGAAGTGCAGGTTGGACAGAATTTGGTTGGAACCCCTTGCTGATATGCTTTGCACCTTCTTCGAGGCTGCAGCATCCGTGCATTATTGCAACGAGCTGAGGTTTCTGCGTGGATGGTGCGTTTTCACTTGGAGCCTTACCTGCTGCCGTTCTCTTATGACACTGACCTGGTGCGCGTTGCAACTGCAACATATTTGGGAGTAGGACACCTACCCGTGCCATCGTGTCCTTGAGTAGTATATTATATGTATGCTTGGCTTCACCAGCAAATGCTAGTCTTGTTGACCTCTCTCACTCCCTTCCCCGTTCTCCCCACCTCCCCTTCTTCCCAATATCGGCTGGATGGCCGAAGTCGAGCACACAGAAAGTGACGAAGAGCAGCGGCGCCACGGGCAAGCGTACCGGAGAGAGAAAACTGGCCAGGTGAGTCAAGCACTTTCCTGTCATGTAGCCAACCGTCACGTGATTTGTGACAATGGCATGCGTATCACGACTTCTCCTCTCTGCAGAATCCCGCCAGAGTCTTGCGTCAAGAGGATGGGGGAGCGAAACGTTCTGCGGCCTGCCTGCTACTCCATGTGTACATCAATCAGTACATCCTCAAGGGTGACGGACATGTCCGACAGTCTTTTGACGCCTTTTTCCTGTCGGATGATGTCAATAGGTACCTCATGCCTTGGGAGCTTCCACAGGAGGACGTCGATAAAGCCTGGGGTCTGATCAACAGGAAAACTTGGCGTTGGGAGTTACGGGGAGCAGGAGGGTTCAAGCTTGCCATCGATGAGGTGAGTTCGTCAGATGTAGCACGAGCTTTGATCCCGGCGTTGCCATTAGTTTCACGCGCGGGTAGTGCACCACGGCAGTATTCTGGTGTGACGGCGTGACCCATACCCCCGTATCGGTGTCACCTCCAGCAAGTCGACCAGGCATCATCCGGCAGAAGTGCAACTGGCGCGATGAGTTGCAGCGCAAAATAAAACTTCTAGCTAACCGCCGCAACTCGCCAGTAGCGATATCTTCGGCATTCTATCGGAAACAATCGGTATTAGCTACAGTACAGTTTGATATCCGTCAGGTGGTAATCGTGCCGCCTCCGTACTCCTTCTGACCCTGCCTACTGTCGTTCTCCTGCCCCCCCCCCCCCCCCGGGTCCCGGCCCCCCACCCTTTTATAAAAGAAAGGGGGGAACAAGGGGAGCTTGGCCCCACCCGGGTGGAGGGACAGTAACCTGAATAAAACCCCGGGAGCTTTTAAAATTTTGGGTTTCTTTTCCCCCTTTTCTGGGTAAAGGCACAAATTTCCTCCCTGGTTTGGCTTTCCGGGGCCCGAAGCCCAATTTCAAACCCCCTCCATTTTCCAGGGTTTTTCCCGAAAACGGGCTCCCCTTTTGGTAACCCCCGAAACCTCTGTGCCCTTTCGGGCCCCTGCCCTTGCCACTGCCCCAACCTATTTTCGGCCTTGGAATTTCCCTTTGGCCTTTAACCCTCTCCAAAAGGCCCCCGTAAAATTTTT